GTGAATCTAAATAAAAGGATACCTATAAAATGCTGTAACTATCGTTCACTGCAACCCAGACAACAGGTGCATGCATTTCTATAACTCCAGGTTTTGTATAGCCAGAGGAGGAATATTATTTCCAAATTCATTCAAATTTTATTCTGCGATTTACTTAGGAAAAAAAACACACTACAAATTGTCATATGTGAATTTACACCATGATCGGGCCACTAGAAGGACAAAGTGATTCAGAAAACCAAAAGAGGTGATTGCCTAATTTAGCTTCCTATACAACGTTATTTTATACAAAATTAACCTATCTTCAATTTCTATGTGACTTCCCTCACTCTGTAATGTTTGTATTTTAAACATCTGGCAAAATCTTCGATATTCTGAAAGAAGAAGCATAGCCTTGTCTCAAAATGTGCTGTCCTAAAAAGAAGTTGGAAAAAAGATAAAGTGAAAGAAACTTAAAAATGAATGATTACTGGCAATTATTATAGAAATAAATAAGAAAGATACAAACACTGTTCTCTTTTTTACTTGAGAATAAAAATAAGTTGCTTAGAGCTTCTTAAGATTAACAAATCATAAAATAGATCATGTGTTCTGTATAATAAGTAAAACAATGGATTAAAGTATGTTAAGCAATCTAGTAAAGTAATTCTGGATCTGAAACAAAAAGGCAGTTATAGAACAAAACTTTTTTTCCATTAATAAAAATAATACTTTAAGGCTAAAACTAAAAGGTTCTAAACAGAATCTTGTCAACATCTCTTTATAATATTAATAAAGTTCAAGGCCATGTTTACTAAAAAAATTTTGGCAAGATAAACTTGCACAATTAAAATAAATATAGTGTCACGTGATTTGGTTTCCCAAAGCCTGAATTTTGACCTTAACTGAAGTCTTCCCAATTCCAATGCTATAAATAACGACTATAGCTGAACAAGATATTAAGTTATTAATTCTCACAGACTGTGGTTGCGCCTTTTCAATATGCAGGTTCCATGCAAGTATTTGATATAAACTTATTCATTTGACAAACATTTATTGCATATCTATCAGGGTTATGTTCCATACCAGGCAATGATAATATAAAGGTGATCAAGACCAACACAAGACCTCTCCTTAAAGGGCAAAGACAAGCAGAAAAGACAGGCAATTAATAAATAACTGCAAAAAGTCATCATCTTGGAGTATATGGTAGAGTTGGGGAAGGCCGTCTGGAAGTTCAGAGGCAATGTCTTTAAAAATTTTCGAGGCTACAGTAATAGAACATGCTACATGTCTGTGGGTTACTGCTGCATACTGCCATCAGTTAAATTAGTCTCATAACACACACAGGGTAATTTATATGCTAGGCTATGTTCAATATAACATACTGCTTAATTAAAAGAGGCTTTATAAATCAAATATTTTTGCCATAGTTTTAAACATCAAAAGGAAACATTTCCACCACTTCAGGAAAATCAAATAAGCATAATAAATGAAGTGGCAACACAGGTTTAAAATACTTCTGAAAAAATGGCAGGCTGACCTTATGAGTTTCTTTCAACCTCTTCCTCCCAAAACCACATTAAAATCACAATAAAATATTTCTTCAAAGGTATAAACATACAAAAACTAGGAAAGAGAAAAGGACACTCAAGAGAATTCATTAATTTTTTATAAACTTGAATAGATGGGGGGAAGGCAATTGACCAGAGGAGCAGAGGCACAACCTGGGTGCCGTGGAGGAGGACACCAAACGGAAGCAAGCTAATTCGGTGACAGAGCTCAGAAAGGATAAGGCCTTCGGAACACAAGGAACTGTGTTGGCAGAGAAAGCTGTGAGGCTGAAAACAGAGGATAACAATATGTAAGTACATCGCTGGATATTCCCCCAACACACATGTTCTCGCACATACATGCAATGTGCTGTGCATCCAGGTTACTGTTCCTCCCACCTCTCCCATTCTTTGGAGAAGCTCAATGAGACCAGAGAAAAATATTTATAAAATACTGGGATGTGGATGCTACTCTAATGAAAAGCCCAGGTCACCAAATAAAAAGCCATGTTCCTATAAAAAGAGCTTCTGAGAGGCCTCAACTATAGATAGGCAACAACCACAGATATGTGGAGAAAACCTCAAAATGATAGTGAAAGCACTGAAAATAAAATATAAAAAAGGACCTGGAAGAGATAACACAATGCATGGAGCAGGAGACAACTTAAAAACATAATTCATATCCTTATAGTAAAAAGAGACATGTAGCAGCCATAAAACAAAATAGATCACTATAACACAAGAACATCAGGGAACAGAGAATAGTTCTTTGAATTAAAAAATTAGGATAACAGAGATAAAACATTCAATAGAAAGGCTAGAAGATAAAGTTATCTCTGGAGATAAAGATATCTCCCACAAAAGCAAACCAACAAAAAAAATGAAGTAGTTGGAACAAACGAAAGAGTAGAATTAGATCAGGAACTGTCAGAAGATGTAACTTCAAACTAATAGAGGTTTCAGAAAAAGAAAACAGAAAATGGAGAAAACTGTCAAAGAAATAATACAGAAAAATATATAGGCCCAGCCGGCATGGCTCAGTGGTTGAGTATCAATCTATAAACCAGAGGTCAGGGATGGATTCCAGATCAGGCCATATGCCCAGGTTGCAGGTTCGACACTGTGGAACGCACAGGAGGCAGCCAATCAATGGTTCTCTCTCATCATTAATGTTTTTATGTCTTTCTCTCCTTCTCCCTTCCTCTCTGAAAATCAATAAAAACCTATTTTTTTTTAAAAAGTATACAGAACTTTCAGACATGAATTTCCATACTGAAAGGGCCCTAAAGTATCTAGCACAATAAATGAAAAAATGTCCACACCACTGGTTATTGTTGTGAATTATTCAAACACCAGGATAAAGAGAAGATTATAAAAGTTTTCAGAGGGGGGGAAAAAGTCAAATACCAAAGTAATAATGATCAAAATGTACAACTGAAAACTTGGGAAGGGTAAGATACAGACTTTAGTAATTATTTGACTTCTAAAACAATGTATAGATACTTTCATTAACAATAAACCAGATATAGATATGTAAATATATGTATATACAGAAATAGAGAAATATGCTAATTAACCGGTATGCAGTAACAGTTGACTGGACAGGAGGAGGTTGCACATGCAGCGCTGGGGGCAGCGTCCGGGGAAGGGCGGCAGGGGCCTCCCCACGCTTGCGCTGGGGGAGGGCCTGACCAGCAGCGGCCATGGCTGCTTCAAGGGCTGGAGAGGGAGTGGGTGGTGCTGGGCGATTTCAAATCGTGTGCTGGGCTCCTAGCAGTAACATAAGCAAATAAATAGAGCCATAAAGTAAATAAATGAACAAATAAAAAATTAAACAAATTGACTGAATGCTCACTATGTGCTAGGGGTACCATTCTTTTTAAAAATGTATTATCTCATTTAACTCTCATAATGGTATGAGGAAGACACTATCAACCTCCTTTTGCAGGTGAGGAAACAGGCTTTGAGAAGTTGAGTAACGATACAATCGGTAAGTCGTGAACTCAGAGTCCTGGCTTTCTGAGTATGGTCTTTTAAATTAAAACTGCATGATCCTGTCTCTTAACTTTAAAAGTAAAATTTATTTTTTTTTAAAGAAGAAAACAAAATACTTGATGTTTCCTACATTCCTATTCTGTTCCCAGATCAACTGTGGTTGATGAAAAGTTCTGTCTTTGTCCGTCAGAACACAAGTTTAATGTATTATATATATACTGGAGGCCCAATGCACGAAATTGGTGCAAGGGGCTCGGCCCTGAAGGCCCCGGCTTCATCCAGAAGGTTGTCTGGAAGGTCCTTCGGCTGTCTCGTCTAATTAGCATATTACGCTTTTATTATTATAGATGTGTGGGGGGTTTGGAGGATGCAGGTTGAAGTATTTGCTAGTGTTTTAAATATTCACTGTATAAAAGTACTTTATGCTAAGAATTTGTGATTTGCTGCTAGAAGGACAATTAAGTAGATTCCTTTACCTAAACGCCTCAACAACCTCCACCAAAAGAAATGACACACCTACAGCATCAGATCGCCAGTGTGTATCTCGTGCAAAGAATAAAGGGTACATACATTTCATTAAAAACAGTTGCCTCTTTTCTAAATTATTGTCATCTGGGCCCTTCACACTCCTCTAGTCCTGCACGGAAAACATTCCTAGACGATTTTCCTAGTCATTTACGTGCCTGTTAAGTATACTGATGCAACAAAAACATCAGGTCCCTGTACTCACTCTTCCCTTTTACTCATCCTTACCTTGTGTTAAGTACTAACGATACCGGAACATGTTCATGCGAATTCCTCTGTAGGCGTCAGCCTCCTTTAGTCTCCTACTTTCGCTGTCCTGTCCATCCATCTTCTCACTTATTGTCCCTATTTAGGAGATTCTACCTTAGGAAACGGGTGGAGTGGGTGGGCTGGATTCCTTTGATTAGGTTTTTTGTGTGTGTATTTTTTTTCCCTATCTGGTGACATCTTCATTCTTTCTGACCTGAGATACCGAAGCTACAGTTTTGGCATTTGGTCCTTTGCGACTGATGAACAATAATGTCTTTTAAGACCTCGCAGCCCCGCCCCGCCCCGGGCCTCCTGGATCACTGCTGTGGCCGCCCGGCCCAGCCTGTGAGTCCCTCCTCTCACAGGCCACCCTCCGCTTTCTGCAGGTCGTGACCTTGGTTTTCGTTCTGTTTTGTCCTGGTTTGGGGTTGCCCTTGCTACGCGGTCGCTGCAGCAACCTCCGAGGTTCTCCATCATCAGTGACAGCGCCTTCCGAGCCTTGGCAACAGCTGCATGCGCACGGGGGCTGCCGGCCTACAAGGTGCCGGTCTCGGTGGCGGGAGGGCCCTGCCGCGGCCGCAGAGCTCACACCGCCGCCACCTCCCACGGCCGGGGTCACGCGGTCACGGGGCCCGCACCCCGCAGGCCCGCCCCGCACTCGGGGGAACACCTGGCGGACGCACGCGCTCGCGCACCTACCGTCTCCTTGGCAGCGGCGACCGGGATGGGCAGCAGCCCCCGGCCGCGGGGCGGGTCCTCCGGCTCCAAGTCGGCGCCCTCGGAGGGGCGCCCGGGGTCCGGCGCCCGCGCGGAGTCGGGCCGGGGGTCCCCGTACAGCTGGTAGCACACGAGGCCGACCAGCCCGCCGCCGGCCGCCGCCGCGAAGCTCAGCTCCCCCCAGCGCCGCCGCCGCCTCCACGCCGCCTCCGCCACAGCCCGGTCCTCCTCCTCCCGGCAGGGGCAGGGCCGGCCGGGAGGGCCCGCGGCTGTCCCCACGGGCCGCCCCCACGGCCCGGGGAAGGGCTGGTGAGGGGAGGGTGCCGGCGGGAGCCGGGGCGGCGGCCACAGGAGCCTCCGCAGTGCAGCCATAGCGGAGCCGCCGGCCCCGAGCTGGAGGGGGCGGGAGGGGGGCGGTTTGGGGGGAAAATCTCGCGAGAAGTCGGAGCGTGGAGGCGCGCGCGGGGCGAGAGCGACCCCTGCGAGCGCGAGGCCAGCCTGGGGGACCCCGGGGCGGTGTCCGCGGCGAGAACGCGGGGTCTCCCGTCGGGGTCAGGGGGAGCCTCGGGGACGGACGGCTGCCCCTTCGCCCGCACTCGCAGCCAGCCCCGCAGACAGCACTGCGCCTGCCCCGGCGACACCTGTCGCGGGAACCAGCCCCGCGGCGGCCCGGTCAGCGGAGCCGGGGGAGCCCGGGGTGCGGGGTGCCGGGCGCCCCTCTGACCGCGCCCTCGCCCCTGCCGTACCGGGTGGTCTGCGGTCGCTAGCAGCGCCCCTCCGAGGAGGTCCCATCGCCTAACGGTCTCCTGATCTTCCCACGCGAGCTCTCCAATCGTGTGTATTGTATCTTGAGCCCAACAGAAATGAGGCAGAAACCTAGGCTCAAGCCATACAAACGGCAAATTAAACTGAAGGGTGTTTTACTACACAATGAAAGCTCCTGGACTTTGGGTCGGGGAAAGCTAATGCTGTTTAGCTTTTTTAGTTACCGTTTGAATATATATATATATATATATATATATATATATATATATATATTTAAAAACATTACCATACCCTAGACCACTTAATTCAACAAATCAGAACTGTCTTTAAGAATACCCTTACTTTTGGAGGGAAGCTGTTGGGTTTAAATATAAAATAAAGAACTGATGTGTATTGTGCCATCTTCGTTCTTGTTCTACTTGTCTGTTACACTGTCAGTGGAGAGAGAGAGAGAGAGAGAGAGAGAGAGAGAGAGAGAGAAACACTGGACACCAGGGTCTGGAACTCAACTTCCAGAATCCAGAGCTGTGGAACCAGTGATTCAGCCACCGAGGACCCGTTTTCCATCTGATGGTCTCCCGCTCCCAATGACAGGTTGACGGTGGTTTGCACCCTGCCCTTTTCCCTCAAACAGCTGTGTCTAAGCTCCAAGAAGTCAGAGCTACTTAGTATTTAGCCCAGTTCCTGGCACATAGTGGGGCCTCAATGTTTATTAAATGGAGAGAGGAATTTATTATTATTGTGTGTGGGGGAGGCCAAGATAGAAATGGCAAATCAGGAGAGAAACGAATGTAAAGTAGCTCATCGGCCACTAAAGGAGATGATAAAGCAGGCAGCACATCTGGAAATGAAACGAATGCACATGGGAGGCCGAAAGGAGAGAGCCGAGGAGTTGGTAAGGAAGGACCAGAGGGTGTGGTCATGGAGATGGGTTCACACAGGAAGAAGTTTTGTGATTTTGTTACTTGAGCCCAATCTTACATGTACTTTGGCATGATCCTGCTGGACCTAGAGCCTCGAAGCAATAGGCTTCCACCTATGGGCCTCTGAGGAATGCCAGCATGATCCACCGCCAAAGGTCACTGACTTGACCTTGACAGCTCCCTCCCTTTTTGTTCTTACACGTCTCACTAGTGACAACCACCAAGCTGCCAGTTGTGTACATTTAACCATCTGACTTCAAGACCAGTAACAATCTGACCATTACATCTGTCCAGTCTGACTTCCACAACTTCTGAGTTTATATAATTTCTGGGGCCTTTGCTGACAGTGTCTCTCTGTTTAATTCTTACTGTTGTCTTTGTCCTCCATTCAGAGGCAGGAACCTCTTATCTTACATATTTGGGAAACAAGGAATAGCAGCTCAAATTTGCTACTAGTGCAGCTTCCTGTCTAACAAGTGAGCCCTTTTTCAGTTGTTAGGTCCTTTTTTTCCTGCCTGATAGTGATTCAAGTGTCTGTGCCCATTCAAAGCTGTTTTCTGGTGGAGAATAGCTTCAGAGTAATACAATGACCATCTTTTGTGCAAGAATAGCACTAGGGTAGCAAAACAATCTTTCTAAAAATGTAAGTGCTGGAACTGAGCATAAACATACCATAGGACCCATCAATTTCACTCCCCGGTGAATACTCATCAAAATTGATTACTTTATGCTCACCAAAAGACACGGAGAAATGTTTGTAATTAGCCCCAAACTAGAAAGTATTCACATGTCCATCAACACTGGTATGGATTTTCTGTGTGTGTATGGTACATTCATATAGCTGAATGCTCTACAGCAAGAAAATTGCTGAAGTGCAGCTACATGCAATCCTGTGAGTAAATTTCACAAGCAGAACATTGAGTTAAAGAAGGCAAACACAAAAGAACCAATTGTATTATTATATTTTTAAAATCAAAATGACACATATTTCAGAAATACAGTGTTTTTCTGGGGTAGAGGATAGTGACTGAAAGGGAGAAAGGGGGGTTCTGGAGTTCTGTTCATGTTCTGTTTCTTGATCTAGGTACCAATTAGACAAGTGTATTCACTCTGGGAAAACTCACAATCCCTGTTCATGTATGTTATACTTCAATAAAAAGCTTCTATAAAATAAAAAATAGAATTTCTTCCTAGTGCTCTTATACTAATGTGTTATTTACTAGAGGACTTGCTCAGTTCTGAACTGTACAACTTAGAAGGAATGTATAGAACTTGTGAAGAGTTAAGAGTGAAAAGTTGAAGAGTTGGAAACTCATGGAAAAGGTAGATAATCTTGTTATAGCTTTGAAAGATTAACCAAGGAGCACCTTAATAAAAGTCTTTTGGTACCTAAAAACCCCTAAGAAGATGCTCGTTAGCTATTCTCCTTATTTATTAAGGAAAAGTCAAAAGGAACGTCATATTTTAAGCAACTACCTAGTGTCTTGTCTTCTTTGAGTTGTAGTACGTTCTCCTGTAATGTCCATATGGCTAGACCCAGTAGGTACCTAGTAGTAAGGCCTAGTGCAACCAGTATATACCCTTGTCTTTGGCTCTAACCCCAGACTGCCAGGTGTTGGATGAGAAATTGCTTTAAGGACAGATAACCAAACAGAAGGGCCGTCTTCAGAGCAGATGGACAGCTCAGCACCAAGAGGAGAAATCAAGCATAGCATAAGGTAAGTCAGTGTACATCCTGCATGAAGCTTATAGGATGGCAAACCAGTATCGCTTCTTGCCAACTCCAATTGATTGGTATTGGTTACCCAGAACACTGTGATGAGCAAAATTTTCAGATCGGGTCCAGAATTCATAGGAAAATGCCTTGGTGGATGAATATATCTGCTAAGAGCAGGCTATTAGACTGAGCTGAGCTGCATTGTTGAGCCACCATAGGTTTTGTTTTTTTTATTTTTATTTTTTTGCAACTCTTCAATTAGAGAAGACAGTGCAGATAATTGCAGGAACAGATAAATTAAAAAAACACTTAAATTTTCTGTAGTATACATGTGAACATGTTGTATTTACCCTGTAAAAATAGAAAATAATTTAGAGATAGCTAAGTCTGAAAAAATTTTAACCTTTTAAAGGTTTTTTGGCTTGTTTGTTTTTTGTGGGGTGGGGAGTCTTTAGTGAAAACTGTCGAAAGAAATCTTTAGCTACAAATGGCAAAAATTTACCTATCTTTTAATCAAGAAAGGAATTTAACAACATCCCATCCCTTCTGGGGTTAATTGGTTTCAATCAACCTATATACAGACATTAATATTAATTACTTTTACTCTTTCCAAATAATTGTATTTGTTTTTCCAAAGACTTAGAGTTTAAAAAAGTCATCTCAGGCTTGGACAGAAATAACTGCCTATCCAGATCCAGTGGAGACTGGACCCGAGTCTGCAGTGAGCCAGTTAAAGACTGTGCCTTTACCAGCCGGTAACCAACAGGACCCAGCTCTCATTGGATACTGCAGGCTAATTAAGTGTTGCTTTATGCTAATGTTGACTTTTAAGTTTGATTAAAATAGATTATTTCAAATTGACAATACAATGATATAATGCATCTAAGCAATACTGAAATTTATTACACTTAAAAGTTTTATCTTGTCCACAGCAAAGTAGTCATTCTTAAGGCAAAGGGATAAATCAAGTGATTTAGATCACTATGCAATTTTTTTTTCCTGTTAAAATAAATCAGCTTGCCTCAAACACGAGAGATTGATCTAAAAATGAAAAGTCTGAAGTATGGGTTTTCATGAATTCCTTGGCAACTGAAGCATATCAAAACTCGTCTGCACTTTGGAAATGATTGTAATTTTTTTCAAGATTGTCTCAAATCTTATGTTCAGGAACCTGTAAACCTCAGACCACCACATCAAGGGGAATGAAGTGAACCTTCCCCTGATGATAAGACTTTTTAAAAAACCACTAAGTGAGCTACTCCAACATCATCGTGCAGGTGCACAGGTCTCCTCGAACAAATTGTTCCAGAATAGGGCGGTCTGTTCCTTCACCCTTGCAGTGCTAGGCAAGGAACCATGTTTGATTGGGATTTTACTGCATGTGGCATTTGTTTCAGGGCATATGCTGTGATCAAAATCTATGTACTGGAGTCTGCGTTCTATATCTAGAATTAACCATTGAACTCTTGGCTATGGCTAAATATATTACATGGACTTACTTATTAAGGAACTGAGCAAGTCCTCTAGTGCCTGCCTATGTGCCCGTGAAGAATTTGTCCATAAAGTGATTTTTACGTAAAGAGGAACACTGAGCAATGATAAAACCAATATTTGAAATTTGAGATCTTTATCCAAACCAGGAGCTCTCTCAGACTGAAAATAAAACAAATGAAGAAGGAGGAGCTAAACATTAATTAGTCATTTTAAGTCTTTTACAAGTGGAAACAAATGAGAGATGAATTTCAGAAAATACTGTGAATGTGCTTTTGTTCTTATTTCCAGTCTGTAGATGAAAATTAAAAGTTCCTATAACCCTCTCTGATAATTATGAAGGACTGATATGCATTCTACTGGAAGAGGTAACGAGGCAGAGATGTGAAACAAAGGCTTGGGACAGAGGTCTTAAAGGTGATAACTGACCACTACGCGGCTTTACATTGAAATTGATTTGGGCTTTTATGTGAAATTAGTAAAATACCATACTTTGAA